CCAAATATGAGCTGGGCATGGTGGCTTACACCTGTAATCCCAGCACTTTGGGAGGCTGAGGCAGGAGGATCACTGGAGCCCAGGAGTTCGAGACCAGCCTGGGCAACATGGTGAAACCTTATCTCTACAAAACATACAAAAATTAGCCAGGTGTGGTGGCACACACCTGTAGTCCCAGGTTCTCGGGAGGCTTAGGTGGGGAGGATCGCTTGAGCACAGGAGGCAGAGATTGCAGTGAGCCAGGAAAAAAAACCTGACCCAAAAAGGTAGGCAATTAATTTTACTCCCTGTTTATCTCACTTGGAATGTATAAAGCATATCCATATATTTCACTGCAGACATATTAATGTATTTAATTACCGAGGGCTGTGCCCCACCCCACGGGGGATATAGGATAATGGATAGTACTATTACCTTTAACCAACAAACACTTTCTGAATTCTGAAATATGTGACCTCTAGAATTTTGGTTAAAGATTGTGAGGCTTGTACTATACTCGAAGTTACTATTATTATTTTTTATTCTGTTTCAGTTTAGTTATACTTAATAAACTTAAAATATGAAAATTTATATTTACAAAATGTAAATTAAGGAGTGACTATCTACTCACTATTTAACATGTAGACATTAACTTAATCCCCATTTGCAGAAAGGGAGCCCTGGGTCTCATCTTACTACAGAAGATTACCCAGATATTCTGTCTAATCTTCTCAAAGGAGCAAACCTCAAGGCCTGGGGAGGGGCATGCAGCTGCTTAGGGTATGGACATTTGTTTGTTAAACAGACGTTGAACTGCTCTTCTGGTGAAGAGCCCTACCTCCAAACCTTCCAGTTTCTGAGATTTAGGGTTTATGCTGGGTAATTTGTTTCTTGGCTGTCTATAAATCAGAGGAATGTTTTTTTTTTCCCTGAATCAATTAATACTTGGCCTTTTGCTTTGCAGTTTCCAAAATTTTGTTGCTGTGATCTTCTCTCTCTCTTCTTTATGCTTAAAACAAAAATAGTAACAAAACAACCACTCCTGCTAAAAAAATAAATAAACCAAACCAACCCCCTTTACATTCTAGTAGGGTTTCAAAGAGGAAGTAGAAATTGAATACTTGTGTTTGATCTGTTATCTTTATTGGGAATTTAGTGCTGTATTTAAGATAGCTCAGTGTTTTCCTCATGTTCATTTTATACAGCTTCCTGTTTATCTTTCTCCACTAGACTGTGGTCTCTTCCAGACAGACACAATGGTCTTTAGTGTTTGTTGAGCTCTGCAGTCCCCTAGAGGCTTTATCAAATTAGACTTGCCTCTGGCCCCAGATAGGAGGGTTTCAGGGTAGATCTCACTAGTTTAGGGTGTGAAGCACAGACAGCTGGGGAAGGACCTTGGCATCTGGCAAATTCTTGCTTTCTTGGGGGCCCTCCACAGCAAAGCATTTGTGGCTTTCTAGTGAATATAATAGAATTCGTACCATCATGGTGATACCCAAGAGTAATATTCAAAACATTTGACAATGGGTGGTGTGGGCAGGACCAGTTCTGGAGCACTTTTACGCTGTGCTGATGCATGCCACCTGAACAGCCACCCAGGCTTCTACCTGTGTTCCAGAAAGCCCCCAGCTCTCTCCAGCCCCTGCCCTCATGACTTTGCCCTAATTTCCAGAATGGAGCAGTAAAGAAATGGGTTTGGGCTCCTCTCCTCCCACCCAGATTCCCTTTCTGAAGCTCATACTGAGTGTCCCTGTGCACAGTGGCAAATATTAGGTACTGTGGAAATAGGATACCCTGTCCTCCCCTTAGGGGAGGAGTCTGACACGAAAAAGAGGGATGGAACCCAGAAAGCAGTGGCGGCAGGGTGACCAAAGTCAGCCTCATCCAGGGAATATTTCTGTGTTGGAAATATCCAGACTTATCCAAAGCCACCAGAGCCCTGGGCATTTTCCCCTACCAATTCGGCTAAGCTGACATCTTTCCCTGGTCTCCCCTCCCCTAGCCTCTTTCTGCTTCCCAAAGCCTCTATCAGGCTTCAAGGGGAAGGACGAGGGAAGAGCCAGGAAGGAGGCAGTGTTAGGGGAGGCGGAGACAAAGTCCTCCTTTGACTGCCTGGATCCTGCGTTTCCATCGGAATCTGGCAGAAGGTCTTAAACGGATCAGAAACCCATCATAGGAATGGCTAAGCAGGCAGATAGATTTCTTTCCTGTCCTCTCAATTCACATATCACTTATATATACATAAGATGAGTAAGTCTGTATATAAAACTCATTTACATTTTTGAGTATATTTTTAAAAATCAGAAAAAAGTTTTTCTGGACATAGGACTAGAGAGACTTGGGAAAGCTCCTACTATAATATTTATCATGGTTCTATTATATTAAAAGGCCTTTGTTATGCTGTGTTGGAAGCTTCATCTTGGTTTCAGACTTTCTGCTATTTTGGCATCCCTGGGCAGGAGAACCTGGAGCTGATAGATGATTTTTTTTTTTTTTAAATATACAAAGCCATGCTCTGTTGCCCAGGCTGGAGTGCAGTGGTGCAATCGTAACTCACTGCAGCCTGGAACTCCTGAGCTCGTGATCCTCCAATCTCAGCCTCTCCAGTCTGGGATCACAGGTGTGTGCCACAATGCCTGACTAATTTTTAACTATTTAAAATAGAGGCCGGGTGTGGTGGCTCAAGCCTGTAATCCCAGCACTTTGGGAGGCTGAGGCGGGTGGATCACGAGGTCAAGAGATCAAGACCATCCTGGTCAACATGGTGAAACCCTGTCTCTACTAAAAATACAAAAATTAGCTGGGCATGGTGGTGCGTGCCTGTAATCCCAGCTACTCAAGAGGCTGAGGCAGGAGAATTGCCTGAACCCAGGAGGCGGAGGTTGCAGTGAGCCGAGATCGCGCCATTGCTCTCCAGCCTGGGTAACATGAGTGAAACTCCGTCTCAAAAAAATAAATAAATAAATAAATAAAAATAAATAAATAAAATAGAGATGGGGTTGTGATGGTTAATATTGAGTGTTAACTTGATTAGATTGAAGGATGCAAAGAATTATCCTGAGTGTATCTGTGAGGGTGATACCAAAGGATATTAACATTTGAGTCAGTGGCTGGGAAAGGCAGACCCACCCTTAATCTGGGGGGGCACCATCTAATCAAGCTACCAACATGGCCAGTATATAAAGCAGGCAGGAAAATGTGAAAAGGCTAGACTGGCTTAGCCTCCCAGCCTACATCTTTCTCCCATGCTGGATGCTTCCTGCCCTTGAACATCAGACTCCAAGTTCTTCAGTTCTGGGACTCGGACTGGCTCTCCTTGCTTCTCGGCTTGCAGCTGGCCTATTGTGGGACCTTGTGATCATGTGAGTTAATACTACCTACTAAACTCCCCTTTATATATATATATCTTCTATTAGTTCTGTCCCTCTAGAGAATCCTAATATAGGAGTCTTGCTGTGTTGCCCAGGCTGGTCACAAACTCCTGGCCTCAAGTGATCCTCCTGCCACAGCCTCCCAAGCTTCTGGGATTACAGACCTGAACCACCATGCCCGGCCACTGATTGATTGCTAAGCATTCCAAGTCCAGGGCTATTTGGAGCTCTAGGTTTGTGGGTTACATTCCCAGTTTACATTAGCTCTTCCTTCACATCTTCTTACTTCTCCGCATCTTGTTAAACAGTGATAGTTACAGGAACATTTGAAGGTTTCTTCATTTGCCAAAAATGGTGTTTTTAAGATTATTTTATGTCCATCATGGTAATGGTTTCTAGCGCAGCAAAATGAGCTTGTGCTGGCTCTATGTTACTCCTTTACATTATCACTATCATTCAGCCTTAATTTTTAGTAAATCCCAAACTCAAGGTCATCTTCTAAGAAAATAGTTTAGGTTCATATACAATTATCAAGCACCTTCTGAATGTCAGGCACTGTGTTAGATCCTGGGCTGACAAGGATAAATGAGACTCTATCCCTGTCCTCTCACTGCCTCTAGTGAGAGGAAACAGATACCCAAACAGTTTACTTTAAACCGTGATTTTGAGGAATACATTGGGGAAAACAGAGCTTGTTGACCAGTTAAATGTCAACTAAAGAAAAGTGAAAGGAAAGCGTCTAGGATCGTTTCCAGGTACTGCTGACCATGTCCTCCTTGAAACGCTCCCTCCCTGGGCTTCCCTGCACCTCTTTCAGTGTTCTGTTTACTTGTCGGTCATTCAATTGTTCTCTCCTTTGCTAGATCCACTTGAGGGCACAGTGCTTAAATGCTGGTGTCCTCAGGACCCCTTCCTCAGCTGTCTGCTCTCTTCTCTATCTCCTCGTAGGGGCAAGGATTTCCAAAGCTCTGAGCTCAGCCCTTTCTCCAAGGAGCACACTCATGTTTCCTGGCATCTGTTAGATAGCTCCACTTGCCACAAGCCCTGTGCCAAACCCTCTACCCACAAAGCTGCAGGTCTGAGGCTGCTGCCTGGGACCTCTTAACAGAGGGAAATGGAAGTGGATGGAGGCTTATGCAGCCCTGTCTGGTAGGAATATAATGCCACCCACGTATGTAACTTTAACTCTCTAGTAGCCATAATAAAATATAAAAATAAATGAAATTAATTCTAATAACATAACACAATATACCCAGCATATCATTTCAATATAGAACCAATGTAAAAAATTTTTAATGAAATATTTTTTTTCATATGGAATCTTCCAAATTCAGTGTGTATTTTTAAAATTTACTTTATGTTTTTTAGGAGACAGGGTCTTGCTCTGTTGCCCACGCTCAAGTACAGTGGTGCCATCATAGCTCACTGCAGCCTCAAACTCCCTGGCTCAGGTGATCCTCCCACTTCAGCCCCCAAAGGAGCTAGGACTACAGGCACACACACCACCACACTTGGCTAATTTTTGAATTTTTGGTAGAGACAGCGTCTCACTATGTTGCCCAGGCTGGTCTCAAACTTCTGGCCTCAAGTGATCCTCCTGCATTGGCCTCCCAGTGTGCTAGGCTTATAGATGTGAGCCACTGCACAGGGCGCAACATGTTTGCAGTAGCCACATTTCAAGTGCTCACTAGCCACATGTGACCAGTGGCCCCCATATTAGCCAGTGCAGTTTAAAATGAAAAAGGTAGCCTGTGAGGCTGGGCAAAACACTCCTGTGAGTATGATAGGATACAGAGATTGTGGCACTATTTTTATGATTCATGTGTATTTTCTGTTCCTTATGGATTCTCTCCTAATATTTAGAGGTCTTTGAAATTCCATTCTTTCTTAGCAGTGCTGAGAAGAATGAAGCAAGTATTCTTCCTCCATGCTGGGAAGGGATTTTCAAGGGAGAGCAGCTCATCTCCCACTCCGTCCTACCCCACCCTTAGAGGGAAAACCCAAGGGGAAGGGGAAGTTCTCAGCACAAAGCCCCACCCTGCTTGGATAGTCCCTTCCTAAAAGCTAACTAACTGAAATCTCTGGATTTTGGTTTAGAAGGAAATCACACTTTTTTCATAGTTTCTTTTCACAATTTTAGTATCTTAGCTGCCAGAAATAGAATTTATTACTTTACAATAATTATTATAGCCAAAGCCACCATATATTCTGGATTTCCCAGGATGGTGTCAGTTTTGAATACTGTTTCTTTCAGGCAGGCATGATGAATTTTGGTTCAGAAAATAGGATCACTGTATCACGTTCTTGAGGGTGAACTATTGGAGAGTCACTATGGTGATCAACCAATGGGTGCTCCCTAGTTCCTGGAACTGAGAACTTCAGTCTGGATACTTCTCTATAAATGGTTTCAGTAGTCTCTGCCGCTTTTCTCGGGGATCTGAAAGAGTTCTCCAAGAAGCCCCCACTTCTCAGGCGGCAACAGGGCAGGTGCCTGGGCGGTAGTCCTTATGCTACTGTTCATAAATCAGTCTGAGTTTTATGGGTGTTTTTTTCTGAGGAGGAAGAGATTTAAAGTTATGTAGAGGCAACAAAGCTTTCTAATAATATTTTTGGCAGGCCACTAAAGGAGGATGAAATACGAAAGATACAGGCCCTGGGAGAGTGGTGGTAGCCCTTGGGACGCCGGCCAGATGTTGGTGCTCACAAATCGGGGGAGACAATGGCCTTTACTGTTACCATTTACAACCCCAGGCATGCTCATTAATCATCAACTAAAATGATTTCACTTTCAGGGTCTAGGCAGGTCGGGGCTGGGGTTGGGGAGGGCTGTGGCAGGAGGCCAGGCTTCCAGGCCGGAAAAGTGTCCCAGAGACCCACTAGACGGGGCCCCCTCCCCTCCCCTCTATCAGGGCGAAGGGCACCAGGAGGCACCAGGAAGCGGAGCGGGGGTCGAGGTGCGGGTGGGTGCGTCACCCTTGTTTTCCGGGCTGTCAGTCTCCCAGCGTCCCCAGCTTTCCAGGTAGGGACGCCCCCTCCCACGCAGCGCGGTTCCGGCGGGTGGGAAGGAGGGGCTGGGCTCCCAGCGCCCGCCCCTCTATCCATCACATGGCCGGAGAGTCACAAAAACAACAGCTTTGGCCAAGACCGTGACTTCAGGAAAGGGAACCCGGGGCTCTCGCAGCCAGCCCTCCTGCCCATGGAGGACAGTTTCCTTGAATCTTTTGGGAGGCTGAGCCTCCAGCAGCAGCGGCAGCGGCAGCCGCCACCCCGGCCGCCCCCGCGGGGGACACCTCCGCGCCGCCACAGCTTTAGGAAACACCTCTACCTCCTGCGAGGCCTCCCGGGCTCCGGGAAAACAACACTGGCCAGGTAATAACAGCGGCTTGGGCGCCGGCGCGCGGGCCCGGGGCCACCAAGCGCCCCGGCCGAGCGCACCCCTGCCCCAAGCCGCTCCCGGGCGCCGCTTGCGCCCCCGCCGCGGGCGCCTGCCCCAGCCCCAGCCCGGCCTGAGCCTGGCAGCTCCGGAGCCTGAGCTGCCTCCCTCGCCCTCTGGGGCCGCTGCCACCCCTGGGGGCGCGGGCGCGGAGACGAGGGCGCTTGTCCTGTTTGTTTCCCGCCGCGCTGTCCCGGGAGGACAGATTCCGGCACTGCACCTAGCGCAATCCCCGGCGGCCGCGGCCCCGGCCCCTTCCCCGCCGCCGTGCCCCGCCTGGGCCGAGGCAGCCTTCGCTGCCCCCAGCCTCCCCAGCCCCGGGTCGGGGAGGCCCGCAGGGACGCTTCTTCGGGAAAACCCCGTGGCTACTGCCGGGAAAACCGCTGGGCCCCTCTGGCGCGCAGGCGGCCGCCACAGTGCGTCAACAGGCGCTGTAACCAGAGTGGATAAACGAGGGGTCCGGGGTCGGGGGGCCCAGGGCAGCCATGGCTGTAGCCTTGGCCGTGGCCTGGGGCTGGTGGCCCGCTTTGAAAATCTGGCGAAGTCGGGCAGCCTGCGTTTGCTTTGGCAGCTGCGAAGGCGCACAGGTGCACGGGGGAGGGGGGCTGGCGGCGCCACCACCGACCATCATTGATAGAGCCTCGCCATGGGCGCCCAAATTCGTTCACTTGCGAATTGCGTAAGCGGCCCTCCCTGTACCCAGCCGCCGGGAATTACGCGGGCTTGTGCCTGCGGCCACCTTGCTAGGCCCCAGCGCTCCAGCCTGAACTCCCACAGCTCCCTGCCTTGCGCTTGATGTTCCAGCAACGTCGAACTGTTTATCTCCTGTAAACCAAGCTGCTTCTCTCCTTGACGCTGGCCTTCCTGCCTAGCGTGCCCTCCCGCCTTCTTTTGCCTTTTAAGACCGGGCAACTACCCCACCCCACCAGTAGATGCGCCTCTTCTGGGCTCCTTGGCTTCCTGTTTACGCCTCCGTGACTGCGCTTGGTTTTGCACATGGTTTTGCTTATCCTTCTGTAAGTTTTTTGAAGGTAGGGGCCATGTCTTACCCTGCCAAGCACATTGTCTGGCACGTAGTAGCTGTTCAATAGAGGAAGTGGTCCCTTTCCCTCAAAGAGCTTCCCGTCTCACTGAAGAGATGAGGCTAGCCGTGGGACCAAGAAACTGCCGAAGAATCAAGGTGATGGATGAACAGTCACGTGCGGATTTCGATGGTACCGAGGTAGTGACCTTAGGAGGAGGGACAGCCTGGGGAGGTGCTCCTCCTTGATTTGTGGAGTAGAAGCCTTTGGCCAGAGTATTGCTACATTTTCACAGACTGTAGGGCCTTGTGACTTCTGGAGGACCCTGGGCGCCCTTTCCTAAACCAGGGACGCAGTTCAATAGACTTTGGCTCACTGGGGAGGGGAGGTGGAGGGCAAAGGCAGCGTCGGGGAGCCTCCTTGGAACCCAGCAGAAGGTGGTTATTTTGTGGTACTGTCATGGTGGGCAAATCTGTTACCAACCAAGTATCTTCTGAATGCCAAATCCTGTTTAATTTCACTTTCGCTTTGCTGATCTGTGGCGTCTCACACCGAGTGTCAAAGAGACTGAGTGTCAAAGAAGGAGGTAAACATCTTTGGCCGGATTTAATTTCTGACTGTGTTGGGAAGCGAAGTAATGTGATGGGTGCAATATACACAGAATGGAACATGAGGGGTTTGGACTCACATTCCTCATCTGTGAAGCCAGGGCATTGCCTGAGTGGTCCTCAGGGTCCTTTCTGGCTCTAACACTCTACACTTTTAGGATTTTAATTCCTGATTGGCGTTGGTTAAGCAGAAGACACCGGATGAGAGACCAGCTATTACAGATCATCTCTGTCTCTCTAGGGACGACGGGAGTGAGCACTGGCCTGGGAGTCTGAAGATTGTGCCTTCAGACCTACTTTGTCACTTACTAGCTGACGACTTTGGGCAATCATGTAGTTTTTCTGGGCCTTATGTGTTTTATACATGACTACTAAGAGGTTAGTAGATTAGAGGATATATTAAAGATCCTCTGACTCTTAATTTCCGGTTGTCAGATTAAAAATAGTTTGCTAATAATGGCTATGTTAAAGAGCTCCGACCTTGGAGTCACTTTATGGCTTCAAAGCTCTGCCACTCACTAGCTTTGCTTTTCACTCAACCCTTCTGTGCCTTGGTTTCCTTTTCTGTTAAATGGGGATATCTGCTCTGTTTGCCTCGGTAGGTTTTGTGAAGATTAAATGTGTGTGGGAGGACTTTTTAAACTTCACAGTGCTATATACATTTTAAGGGGCAGTAGTTAACTGTTTCCATTGTTGGTCAGCTGGGATAAATCTTCAGCGTTCCCTGGAGCCTGGCTCTGGAGTGAAGAAGGCAGCTTGGCAGTTGACTTTGAGACCTCCTGTTTCGCTGGGCATTGGCAGTTATGGGAGCAGAGCAGCCTTGGCATGCCATAGGGTGGATTGTGTGTTTGTAGAAAAGTCTGGGAAGTAAGCAAGGAAACAGGCCATAGCTTCAGCGGAAGGGAGGCCTGAGGTGAGGATGGAATGGGGGAGATGCAGACTCAGGTGTGGCCCACCAGGAACTGCCTCCCCCACTTTTTTGTGGGGTGGAGTGGGGAAGAGGAAGAGGGCATATTGTTTAAAAACACACATGTAGCTGGACGCGGTGGCTCAAGCCTGTAATCCCAGCACTTTGGGAGGCTGAGGCGGGTGGATCACGAGGTCAAGAGATCGAGACCATCCTGGTCAACATGGTGAAACCCTGTCTCTACTAAAAATACAAAAACATTAGCTAGGCATGGTGGCGCATGCCTGTAATCCCAGCTACTCAGGAGGTTGAGGCAGGAGAGTTGCCTGAACCCAAGAGGCGGAGGTTGCGGTGAGCCGAGATCGCGCCATTGCACTCCAGCCTGGGTAACAAGAGTGAAACTCCATCTCAAAAAAAAAAACAAAAAAAAAAACAAAAAAAAAACCACATGTATAGAAAATAGTACAGACTTTAAGGTTATCTATGTATTGTTGGATTCTGGGAAGTTCACATTTTCTCTATTCTATGTATTTTCCAAATTTTCTATAATGAATATGTATTTCTTAAATCAGAATAATAAAATTTTTTTCTTTAAAATTTGTAGGAAATCGCTTTTTGCAAATGTGGGTTCATCTTTTTCTGCTTAACCTTTTTTCTCATTTGATTAAAGAACTAATAAAACATTTTTTGAAATTAGGGTATGTTTTGTCTCCCAAATCAATGTTAGATTTCTGTGATATTTTACTTATATGTTTTCATAGTTTGAAGTGGCTGAAATGTGGAAAAACATCTATTTAAATTATTTGAATTTATTTTTAAAACGTTGGAGTTTTAACTGGTGAAAAATTTTTTCAGCACATCAAAGTACTAAAAAATTAGCATGTACCCTAAATCTGTTTTATCACTTGTATTTCATTTAAAAAGCATCTTAAAAATAGGTTCTTATCATTGACCTATAAGCTCTACTTCCAGGAATTCATCCTAAGAAATAATTGGAGGCCAGGTGCAGTGGCTTACACCTATAATCCCAGCACTTTATGAGGCTGAGGTGGGCAGATCACTTGCGGTCAGGAGTTCAAGACCAGCTTGGCCAACATGGCGAAACTCCATCTCTACTAAAAATGCAAAAATCAGCTGGGCATGGTGGCACATACCTGTAATCCCAGCTACTTGGAAGGCCGAGGCAGGAGTATGGCTTGAGCCTGGGAGGTGGAGGCTGCAGTGAACTGAGATTGCACCACTGCATTCCAACCTGGATGACAGACCCTGTCTCAAAAATAAAGAAAAAAGAGAAATATGAGCCAGCTTATAGCTACAAAAACAGAGGAATAGCTTATAAGTCATGCAGTCATTAATAGGAACATAGATGTATATTTGACATGCAAATATATTCACACTGCTCCTATTAAATTAAAAAAAGATACACACACATACACATTTCATTTTCTGTTCAAAGAAGGGGATCTACATATATTTGAAGAAAAACATGTGAAAAGAGAGCTATCTATTGATAGTTGTTGACTTTAGATGGTGGGATTATGAACTTTCCCCTTGATTTATTTTCTAGTTTTTCTAGAACAAATATGTATTACTTGTTAAGTTTTTAAAGATGAAAATAAAGTCACTATTAAGTAAAAAGTTTTGTTAAATGATTCTGCTAGCAAGACCCAGTTTATGTGAAAAGCTTTTATTACTTCACTAAATAAATATGCCATTTTCTAGATAAAAGGTTTTCCTAGGTTACTTCTCAGGTGGACATATGCTGTGAAACGCTTATCCATGAGGAGGTGGATTTGAATCGCCTTAAATTTTATTAATTTTGATTAATTTGTTAACCAGCATCTGAATCAGCATAAATCCCTTGATTCTTCAACACCTCAGGTTTTTTATTTAAATGAAGCTAATATTGCATTAATAAGTTTGTGAGGATTTCAGCTACTGTAGTAAACAGTGACCCTATGATCATGTATGTGAAGCACCGTGGAATGCGCATGCTACATAGATACCAACTATTGTTAATTATTAGTCACTAATCAACAGTACCAGTGTCCACTGAGCACTTACAATACCTTTAGCACTTGCTTAGAGAGGCATACGCCAAATAAGCTTATGAGAAGGCACCTGCCGGGGAGTAACCAATGGAAAGCGGTAATTGGCCCACTGTGGGTAAGGGCCAGTGGGGGTGGCATCTCAAATGCCGTTGGTGGTCAGGGCTGGGGAGGCAGTGAGGAGGATGAATGCTATCTAGGGAGAAAGGATCTTCTCCTTGTGGAGACAGTTCTTGGGCTGGCCTTGAAGATGGGGAGGCGGCAGTTGAACCAACAGCACAACAGCACAAGTTACGAGATGGAGGTGGCAGAGAGCTGGGTGTGCTCCTGGGCTTGATTAAAGTGAAGCCT